ACTGAGCAATTATTTTCAATAGGTATAACAAATAAGAGTTCCATCTGACCAGGGAGGAAAGCCAGTTGGCTATTTAGGAGCATGACCGAGGACTTTAACTCGGGGCTACTAAGAACAACCACAGATAGTGGTGATAATATAATGGGATTTGAACCCAGCCACGGTGGTGAAATCCAGGGCTCAGTTCCTGAAACGCCAATTAGTGCTAATTAAAGTTTAAAATTGTGCTCCCTACTTTGTATTTACCTTCATTTGCCTTGCTTGAAATATCATTTTGTTTTATACTTACTGTATCTTGGAGTACAGGCTTTATAGTATTTTGTAAGCTTGAGTTATATGTTCTTAGACAAGAAAAACGTTATTAAAATTTGGCTTAATCTTTCAAGGAACCAGACCCAGTACCCTAAACTACTCAGCCATATCACGGGTGTGGCTTAACTGGAGAATATCATTGTTAAGGAAACATACTTTCCCATAAACCTTTCCCGCATTCCAGTGAAGGAGACACCAACTCAAAGACTGGGGGATGGGTTGATAAATAAATTATCTGTATGAAACTGTCCATCCAAGAGACCATAAGCCATTATTATAAGTTCGTGTCCGAAACTGGCACAAAAAGAATAACAATAGGACACATGACAAAGTGGGTAGGCGATCCATTTGGATCTGGAAAGCATTCCATACCAGTTCAGCTTCATCCATCTCTTCGCCAAGTCCTCGCATAAACTGTTGCAACGCAATAAGTGAGTGAAGCTGAGCCATGTCTGTTAAAAAAGAGAGTCAAGCACATGTACCCTTTGAAGATCAAGAAGGACATTTTTAAGCTTTTTTCTGACAAATGAGAATCTATCAGCGAGCCTTTACGGCCGGCTTGCTACTTATCTTACGGAGATAACACCCTTTTTCTTGGCACTAGAAGCCTAGAATGTCAGTAGATGGTTATCTAAAATTTCAAACAGATATATCATTATGTAGTGGCCAGTAGTAAGTTAACAATGTCATGACTGTCATGCGTTTACAGCCAAGGGCAAGCAAAAGGGTGCCTCCCCTCTCCCCCTTCACCTTCTCAATGTTAACATGAAAAAGAAAAAGACTGGACAGAACTGTGGAAACCGATTTGAAAGAACATGTAAACTTCTGAGGCTATGATGTGAAGCACGCTATGTTCAAGGAAAAGCGCAGCACGGGAAAGGTTGTGCCCTTGGCCTCATTTTGGAAAGTGAGGGTTTTTGGAACTCGGAAGTGGCCTATTGACCTCTGATCCAGTTTAGCGTAACATCTGCACGTGCAACTTCCTGTCAGTTTGTTTACATTTGCTTTGCTCCTATTGGATAGTATCTTGACGCCTTGAAAGGGGCGTAATTTAAAAATCAATAGCCCGCTTGCAGGCTCACTTTTCCTGACTGGATGGCGGCTCCGCCGTCAAAATAGTTTTCCCTGCATTCGCACAAGTGAGCCTTCTCGCGGGCTAAACCCCCGGGGGGGGGGGGGGGGGGTACCCCCATATTTTACCTATACGGCTATGTGCCCCCCAAGGGGGTTTTGTTTTTGAAGCTCGTGTTTTAGAAGGGGGTATCCATTTAAGAGGGGTTTTCCAAAACGGGGTATAAAAATTGTGGATACTGGCTTTTTTTTTTTCTTAAAATT